AGCACGTAGACCAGAGGCCACCAGCTGAGACATCGGTGCCTTGCCTGTGACATGTGAACACAAAACAGTATTGGATTCATCATTGTTTGGCCACTGGAAGATCTGACCTGGAAATCAGTTTCAAGCCACTCCTAGGAAATCGGGTCTGGGCACCCTAGTCCCATCTCCCATGGCTAGGCCTGTAGAGCCACTGTGCATTTGTGACATTTGGGCTCCCTGCTGCCCAGTCCACGGCACATGGTCCTCCCTGCACTGTGACTCTGTGATGACTCCAGCTGGCCCTTACAATGGCACATTCCTCCTTGTCATCTCTGCTTGGACCCAAGAAGAAGAGATGAAGATAGAAGATGGAAGAAGAGGAGGAGGAAGATAATGGAAACCGAGCCTCCCAGGCTAAGCAGGGCTGCAGGAGCCTCCTGCCAGCCTCCCCTCATCCTATGCTTGCTCTCTTTTCAGCAAGTCTCCTTCGCCTCAACACTTGCTGGTCTTCCCAGGCTGCACAGGGTTCCCAGCCCCTGTAGCCCACACTCATACCGACCAAGCACAGAAGACCCTAGGCCAATGTGTACCCCTTCCTTACCTTGGGATAAGCCTAGCCTGGCCCAGGTCAGAGCTCCCCATGTGCAGGGCCAGTCCAGTTATCTGGACCTACACCCAGGAAGATGCTCAGGATGGGCACCTGGAGAGAAGTTAGCCTGTGGCCAAACCATAACCTCCCAGCACCTAGGTCCCTCCCTCTGGGCTCAGAACAGTGGGGAATGTGGCTGTGAGAAATAAGCCCCACTGCCCATGTGGGCCATTTGAATACAACCCACTAGAGTGGGGCCCGAGTTCCTGCCCTTTGAGGGAGGGCTTTGGGACGTGAATCCTGCCCCGTGACTCACTCTGCCCCCATTTCTCTTGCTGAGACCCTCAGAGGGTGGTGCTGGCACTTCCCACAGCAGGGCCAGTGACCATGGAACCTTGGGTGTGGCTAAGGTATGAGGAAAAGACTCCAGCATGAGCTCAGCCCATGTGGAGAGGCTTTCTGCCGGAGATCGTGTACCTAAGTTGTGAGATTCCCAGAAGAAAAGTCCACACTCTGCCTGCTGCAGCAAGCCCACAGGTGCCCAGAGAACACCTACGGGTGTTCCAGCTTTACCATGCTAGTCCACGCCCTTGTTTCCCAGGTGCTGGCCATCAGAGATGCTTAATGGTTCCTTTAACAATTCTTGCCTGTCTTGAAACATGCCTTCAGCAGCTGAGTGTTCACCCTTCTGCTAGCCAGTCTTGAAGACCTGGTGGGTAGTCACTTCTCACTTTCTGAAATGGGATCTCTCCACTGTCCAGGCTCTCCGCACCAGGCCCAGGCCCTCTTCCTGTGCCAGCCCCTCCAGTGCTGGGGTTGCAGGCATGGCCAGCACACAGCTCGTGCTTCATTCAGGAACTGAGCCCAGACTGAGTCTGATCCTGACCTGCTGGCTTCTCCTGGGCTGCCTCTGTCTCGCCTGCCTCTTCAGGGGCCCCTTCCAGCCTCTTTTCTTCCTGTCAGCCATGCTCTCATCCCCAGCCTGCCTCTCCTCCCATGAAGCGCTTTCTCTTGTCCTCCCACAGGCCCCCGCCCGCGCCTTCCACGCAGGCGGCATTGCCAGCCAGGGAAGGGAGAGATGCGGGCTGGCATTCTGTCAAGGAATTAATTGAAAAATAAAACCATTAGGTGGGAACTGGAGAAATGCAGAAGTGGTGTTTGGAGGTTGGGGGGAGGGGGCAGGACTGGGGGGCTGTTGGGGGCCGGCCTAGCTTTTTGTCAAGTTCATTTCTCGGTATTGATGTTTGGTGACAGTCACTTGTTGTTTATCTTCAGGAGCAGCTGCGCCGTGGAAGGAAAATGCACGGCTTGTTCCGTTTATTTATTTCACACCTTCCCCGGGTTCTGCTTTGTGTTTGTTTGGTGAAGGCCCACGGAGGCCTCCAACATGGGGAAGCGGGGTTTCCACAGCTGTTCCTGCCAGGCGAGCCAGCACTCCATGTGGGGGGCAGGCCAGCTGGGGGGTGGGGGGAGCTGAGTGCCAGTAGTGAAGACACAGGGCCCAGCATGTCCTACAGGGCAAAATAGGGGTTCCCACCCGATCCCTGGCTGTGGACTTGAGCCAGACCCACCAGCAAGGTGGACCCCCTCTCCCATCCTTTGACTCTTGTCCTTATAGCCAACCCCAGGAGGTGGCAGAGAGCAAGAGTGACCTGCTCAGGGTGGTTCATCTGGTGATGGCAGAGTCTGTTGATCTAGGATCCTGGAGTTGTGTCATTGCCTGGACCCTGTGTCTCAGGCCTCCAGCACCTCCCTGGACAAAATTCTTAAAATTGAAGGAGTGGCTAGTTGGTCCCCAAGCCCTGGGCTGCTCTTATTGGCTCTGCAGGTGGCGTACGGTCACACTGAGCCAAGCAGAGTCGGCAGAAGTAGAAGTCACAGCCACAGCCTCAGGGAGCCCAGGCCTTGGAGAGAGCTGGTTCCCTGTTGCGGGGTCCTCGCACACTGCCGCCTCCACCTCTTCCTCCTCCTCCTCCTACAGGAGTCTGAGTGTGAGCGGAGTGGTTCGGGCACAGGGGTTCCCCAAGTGTGGTTGGTATCAGTGAGGGAGCGAGAGGAGCACCCAGTTAGAGCATAGTCTGTACCCATGGGCTCCAGGAGATGTTGGGGTAGGGGGCCACATGTCTCAAGAGACAGCTAGCACCCCCTAGAGGCAGAGCATGGAGCATCCACTGCCAGGCAGGAGACCGATGGCTAAGGGAATAACCACAAGCGAGGCCATGTTCCCTGCATCTGGGCACTCCAGAAAGCAGCATTTGGAAAGTGGACAAAGATGTGGACTAGAGAACACTCTACTCTGACTAGAGACCCAGCCTGTCTAGTGCCATGAGCCCAGGCTAAGGGCAATGGATCCCATGAAGCTTGTCCCCAAGGCCTCCCACATTGTTCTCTCTGCCCCTCCTGCCATAGCTGGAGCCCTTTAACCCCTGCTGTTCCCTGGCCATCTCCAGTCAGTCAGTGAGCAGATATCTGAGGGCTGCCAGGGCTGACAGTTGTGGGCATTGGGACAGAATGATAGACATGACAGACATACCTGCCTTCCAGCTAAAGAGATAAACAGTGAAGTCAAAAGGTCATGCAAGTGCTGAGGGGGAACCAGGGAAGCTTGGCCACAGATATGAAGCCCCTGAGTGGCCCAATAGAGCCTTCTAGACAGGAAATGGCAGTGCAAAGGCCATAGGATGAGAGGAGTGGGTGCCGGGATTAGGAAATGCCCAGCTCCTGTGCACTAGTTGCCAACAATATTATAGCTTTGGCTTTCCCCAGGGACAGGGCACTGCAGAGGTGTTGCAGAGAGGTAGATGGGTTCTAGTGTTGGTTTGACGGGGTCCCTCTGGTTGCCCCCAAGGTGGAGATGCTGGGAGGACCATCATGGTGGCAGAGGGGGCTGTGCTAGAGGTTGGTGTCTCCTCTGAAACAGAACAGGAATACCTAAGGGAAACCTGCCAGCTGCCGCTTTTCCCAGCCAGCCTGTCCCGGTTCCCCACCCAAGTAGCAGGAGGAGGGGCCTCAGACACAGGCTGGGAACCCGCTTTGTTGTTGTCTATTTCCAGCCCTATTACCTGCCCAGGATCCAATTTCCTGAGGCCATTGTACAGCAGGCATTAGGCGCAGAGTGAGGAGAGGACACTTCGGGGAGCCAGGCTGCTTCCTCTCCTTTTTGGCCATGATAGGCATAACTACCAGACCTCGGCTCCCAGCCAGTGCCCCCACCCCCCCACAACCACCCTTGTCCTCTCCAGGCAACCTCTGTGGCAGCCCTGTACCTCTGTCTGTGTATTTCCCACTTGGGTGTCTCATACAGCTGGGGAGAGTGACCGTAAGAGAAGGACCTGTTGCATGGTGGGACAGGGGAGGCACAGGCTGTTTGTCCACAGAACATGGGGAGCTAGGGCAAGGGAGACAGGATGTTTTTGCAGGCCTGGGGGTGATTCAAAAAGCAGCATGGCAGCTAGAGCCCACATGCCTGTGGGCTCGTGTATGGGAGAACCAGTTTGGAAGGACAAAGTTGATAGGGAGGGGTCAAGGGTGGCTGGGTTGGGAACTGCCATGGAAGGGGTGAGCATGGGAGGAATTAGATAAGGGAAGGGATTTCAGGACACACTCCTCCTCCCCAACCCCTCCCCCCCAGGAAGGAGCCAACATATCTGTCATGTAGAAGTGTGAGGTAAAGGGTGGGTGACTGTGCACCCAGAGGGCTACCCAGAAGGAGTTAGAGTGTCCTGAAGGCAGGGATTTGGGTGGGCAGCGTCTTTATAAATTTGCCCTTCACTGGTGGTAAGTGGATGGTTAGACTAGCAGGGGGACTGGTGGGGCAGGTGGCCCAGAGCCAGCCTCCCTGGTTCCTTGTCTGTGGGATTATTGAGGTCACTAGTGCCATAGCAAACAGTAGATAGTCAGTGGCATTCAGAGCAGCTGTGTGTCCAAATGTCCCTTTGTCCCTTCCTCATGGAAAACTCCTCTGCACCCATGAAAGCCCAAATCCAATAACTCCTCTCCTCCAAAGCTGTCCTCAGTGCTGTGGCCCCCACACCTCTCTGGATTCCTTGGACACTGCAGCTGTGCACCTGACATTGAGTCTATGGTGGCATAGAAACAGAGCTGGCTAGTCCTCTGGCTGGTGGGGAGGAGGCAGCCCTCAGGTGGGTTCCTGGCTCCCTAAAGTGGGTCCTTTGCTCTGTGGGAGGGTAGGAAAGGACACAAGGGTGGCTGGCAGCAGTGGGAGTCAGGAGACACACCTGGACTAACCAGGAGGCTGGACTAACCATGTTTGTTCTCTTCCTTCTCTCATCCCTCCCTGGCTCATCCCCAACTCACTCACTCTCCTTGTGCCTGCCTCACACACCTTCCCCCCTCCCCTCCAACCCCCCACCCCCCGCACTCGCTGTTTAACCCTCTCCGGGTCCTTTCTCCTCTCTGCCATCTGCCACAGAGCCCCCGAAGAAAAAGCGGTCTGCAGTGTTGGATGGGATCCTGGAGCAGCTGGAAGACAGGGACGATGACGACAGTGAACAAGCTCTTCAGCTGTGAGCTGGCACCACCAAGGTGTGTGGCTCTGGGGCTCTGGGGCCCTGGGGCCAGCAGGGCGTGACAGGAGCTCTGCATAGGTCAGGGCCAGAGGACACAAAAGTTTGTGGCAAGTACCTGGATGTGAGAACATGTTTTCTGCAGGCTCCCCACCGAGTAGGTGGGTGACGTGTTCAGCAACTGCTGACTGAGCACCTGCACTGGATAACGCATGTGAAGTGCCTCCTTATGGGGCCTCAGACTCTGCGATAGGTGGCAGTGTGCGCAGCCAGTGTAGGGCCAGTGGCAGAAATGAGCTGCTGTCTTCGTGGGACCCACAGCTCAGCCCTGTTCACCAGCCGCCGGGGCCCCCACTCAGCCAGCCTCCTACAGCCCTGTCTCCCCCTCTACAGAACTGCTGGTCAAAGGAGGGAGCTGGGTACTCTACCTCATCACCCAGGGCCCTTCACAGTCCTCCTGAAGCATGCATTCCAAGCCCTGATGCCAGGTTCACAGGCTGAACTTTGCTACCTCCACCAGGCCTGCAGCTCAAGATGGAGGCACTGGGAGTCCCACGCCCTGGGCCAGCGGCCTCAAAAGCTCATCTGTGGCTGGGTACCCTAGCACAGCCTCTTCATGAATGCCGGTGCACCAACAGCCCGAGGAGGACATGATGTCAAGCAGGGAGCAGGGGCCACAGCCCTTCCACCACTGCCCAGCCCCAGCAGCACCACTCCAAGCGTGTGGCTTAAGACCCACATCATTTGGAGTTCAGGGAGTATCCGTTCAGTGCCAGTGACTGGCATGGCTGCCTCAGCCAGCCACACCAACTTCAACCATCCAAGCAGGAAGACCTGAGACCTACTCGCACTTCTGAGCTGTTGTCACCACAGGCTGGAGGTGCACTGGACAGGACTCTGAGCTCCAGGCCTTCCGACTCTGTGTGAGGAGCTCGGCCCGTGCAGTTTTGTAGAGATGAGGTCCTGTTTTTCAGAGTGGCCTGGACCCCAGGCCAAGCTACCAAAGCTGGGAGCTCACCCTGTGGTGGGACAGGCATTTTGTTCCAGTCCAAGGGTGCTGAGAATTAAGCAATAAACCTAGAATGGCAGAACCTAGAATGGCTCCCTCCCTCAACCTCACACACCTCAGACATCACCTGTCACCACCCTCTACCATGGCGCTGCCCAGAGGGTTCACAGTGATGCCTGCCACACCCAGGCTGAACCATCAGGAACCAAGGGCCATGCTGCTATGAGTCCTTAGGCAGAATGGGAATCTTCCCTGTCCCGCCCGTCCGTTCACGGTGCACCCACCCACATGTCACAGCACCATAGCCAGGATGGCCTAGGGCAGAAAGCTGCAGTCTGTCACCAGCGCAAACTCCCCAGCGTGACACAGGAGCAGCTAGAAGCTCCCCAGAGCAGGGTCAGCACCTGTGCTGCCTGGTGTGGGACCCACTTGCATGGGACCTGGGGACCTGTGCTCAGCCAGCCTGGCCCCCAGTGACTCTCTAAGCCCTAGAGCTCAGCAATGGCATTTTCTGAGTCCTCTGGCCTCCTGGGTTTAGGTCTCCAGCAACCACTCGAAAGCCAGGCAACGTGGAGTTTATCTGGAATCCCAGATTTTATGACGTGGAGACAGACAGGTTCCCAGGGCTAGTCAGCATAGCCAATCAGTGAGCTCCAGGTTGAGCAAGAGACCTGGGTCAAAAAAAAAAAAAAAAAAAAATGGTGGAGAGCAGCTGAGGACACAGTGAAGCTCTGGCTTCCACATGTGCCCTTCCCGCCACATACACACACATAAATAGGAGTTTGTCAGTAGCCAGTGCACAACACAGCTCAGGAGCCTAGAAGCGGTGAGTAGAACAGGCCTAGGACCTCACTGAGCCTCACTAGACAGGAGCCTGTGGGTCCAGCAAGGGCCTGGAGGAGATAGTTTCTGGCCAGCAGCCAGGGGCAGGAGGCTGGACTCATCATCACCCTCCCTGTGGTTCCTGGCACGGGCAGGCTGTGGTTGGGGAGTGAATGTCCTCATGTTGCTCTGTCCCTGGGCCTTTGAGTTTTTCTGAGAGCCCAGCTGGGACTCTGGGCCAGCCAGGAAGGGAAATCAAGGGAGTGGAGTGGAGTCTGAGCCAGCATGGAGGTCTGAGATGGAGCATGCCTTTTCCTGCTGGCCACTGCCCTACAGCAAGGGCCATGAACCCTGAACTCAGGTTCCCTGACTGGAACGGTACCAGCATCCTGTCACACTCCAGAAAGAGGCAGGTATATTCAGAATAGCCATTCTATTGCTGGAGGAAATGCCAGGTGTTGGACATAGAGTCAGCAAGACCTGACCCTCATTCACGAGTTCATGTGCCAAACCCATGCTGAACCTGGACCTGAGGACAAACCCAGGTGCCTCTGTGTGTGTCTTCCTTGAGATATGGCATTCCTTGCTGAATGGACTCCAGAGGCTGTCCCAGGCCTTGAGATGCACACATGGTGTGCTGGAGAAGTGATTCAGCCTTTAAGAGAGTGTACCTCTCTTCCAGAGAACCCAAGTTAGGTTCCCAGCAGCTCCATAACTGCCAGAACTCTCAGCACCAGAGGATCCAGCGCCCTCTTCTGGCTTCCACAGGCAATTGCATCCATATGGCACACACAGACACACATGTCAATAAAAATATTTTTTAAAGATGCTCATATCAGGTGCAAGACAGTCCCCTTGCCTCGTGTGTCCCCCTCACCTCTGCCACTGTCCTGCCCTGATGCAGGCGATCTCCCCTCCCCACTGTCTGCAGCCTCAGCCTCCACTCAGGATGGCTGGGGCTGCGCATGCACGCACTCAGGCTTTGCCGAACAGAGCCGAGCTCAGGCTCAACATCTAATTCAATTTGTTCTGCTGAGATTGAAATATGAAATGGTTGCCAGTCAAAACGTTCAAAGGACGGGGAAGGAGGGAGAGAGCGTCTGCTGGAATTTAAATTTTAATGAAAATGACTTTAACCCTTCGGTAAGGCCTGGAGGAAATGGAACCCGTGCTCAGGTCCTGGGAATGAAGCCTCCAGGGCTCTGCCTCCCCAGGAATAGCTAGACTTTTTTTTTTTTTTTCACCTTGCAGAATCGCTTTTTAAAGCTTGGTGGGCTCCCCTTGCTTCCCGGTAATGTGCTTACCCCTGCTGCTGGAGCTTGTTGACATGAGCGTCTCCATCTATCCTACATACTCTACCCCCTTCGGGAGACATCAGCCCCATCAGAGCTTTTTGTGTCCTGTGTCCCTCCTTGTTCCTACTGGTTCTAGATCTGGCTACACTGCCCAGGCTGGTCCCGCACTCCTGGGCTCAAGTGACCCCAGCCTCCAAGCACAAGGCCCTGTGCCACACTCTTTGTTCATGTTGCAGTGGGTTATGTGGGGTCAGCCCCATCCTGACTGTGAGTCCCAGCAGGACAGTGTCCCTCTGGCCTGGAAGGTCCTGGGGACATAGTATTTGAAATGGAGAAGAGAGCCCCCCCCACCCCTGGTTTCTTTCTCAGGGCCTCCTAGAGGTAGATGGCATCCTCCAGGAAACAAGGCTGCACAGAGGGTTGGTACCCACCAACTCCATCTTGGCAGTGCAGACAAGCAGGATGCTTAAGCTGGTGGCTTCGGGACCACCAGCCAGCCAGCTCAGAAACAAGAAACGTGGGCCCCAGGCAAGGGGAGGACATCAGGAGTCCACACTTACCTCATGAATTCATTCTCAGGGGGTTGCCACAAAAAGATCCACAGGTTTTTTTTTCAAGGCTCTCCAGCATACTAAGGAGGGGTTAGCAAGACAGCTCCTTGGCTAAAGGGGCTTGCTGAGAAGGCCGACAGCCCAAGTTGGACCCCTGAGACTCCCATGGTAGAAGGAGAGAACAAGCCCCCACACGCTGTCCCCTAACCCACATACACAGAATAAATGTGGAAGTTCTAATTCAGCATATTAAAACAACAACAAGCCAAGGGCCAGGGCCAGACACTGTTCAAAGTCCTATCCAAACCCTACTGCACCAGCTGAGATCACGTATCTTCACCACAGATTGCTACGGTGCTTGCTAGAGCTGAGTCATCACCACAGATTTCATGGCCACTCTTGCCTAGTCTCCGGCACAGACAATCCGGGCTGAGTCTCAGCTCCATTGAATACGGATTGTAGGACATGGCACTGGCTCTTTGGTTTCCCTGTGCATCAGTGTCCTTCAAGGCAATGACAGACACACAGATTGGTAGGAAGCCATCTTAGTTAATAGTTTCGGTTGCTTCCATTAAACCCCATGACCAAAGGAGGAAAGGATCCAGTTGGCTTACACTTTCATACCATTGTCCATCACTGGAGGAAGTCGGGGCAGGAACCTGGAGGCAGGAGCTGATACAGAGGCCATGGAGGTGGGGCTGCTTGCTGGCTTGTTCCCCCTGGCTTGCTCAGTGTGCTCTCTTATAAAAATCCAGGACCACCAGCCCAGAGTTGGCGCCACCCACAGTGGGCTGGGCCCTCAATCACTAAGAAAATATCCTACAGGCTTGCCTGCAACCTGATCTTATGGAGACATTTCTTCAATTGAGGCCCCCTCCCTTCAGATGACTCTAGCTTGTGTCATGATGACATAAAATTACCCAGCACAGATGCTTAAGTCGGGACATGCCGAGAGTTGGGAAAGACCCCCAACACATACAGTATAAACCCCCTTCTGTTGTTATCCCATCCCCATGCAAGGACAGTGTTCTTATCCTCCACACCTGGCAGGCTTCCTGTCCTCCTCCCCTCCCCCACCAGCAGCTGCCCTGGAGGCCAGCATATTCCAGCACCAGCCCTGGGCTGGGGTTGTCTCTGTGAGTGACAAAATAAAAATGGACCTTCAGGTTCATTCTAGCATTGCCAGGCACCCAGGATGCCCCCACCTCCAGCTTCTCTAATAGACCCCACTTCCCCTTAATTGCAGCCTTCCTGACAGTGATCCACAGGGGCCGTGGTGCCCCTGCCCTGGGCAGGAGCCAACACCAAACACATCCATCTGTGCAGATCCGTGGGCAGCAGCTCCTGCCTCCTCCTGGAAGCAGCTGAGGGCCCTCCCTTCACCACTACCCTGGACACCTGCAGTTCAGAATGACTCACTAGCATCAGGCTGGGATTATCACACAAGGGGAAACTGAGGCTGGAGAAATGAGCCAAGCCGCTCATGAGGAATATTCCAGGAAGGTGAAGGGAAGGAGGGGGACCCTGTCCTCCTCAGGTCCCACCTCATGGTTGACTAAAGACCGGGCCTCTCTTTCCCCTTTGCCTTGTGGGAGGAAAGAAATCTTAATGAGCACGGGACCATCACAAATAGCAGAGAGAAAACACCTGTTTCAGTTATGTGGTCTTAAACTGCACTCTCCAGAGGTGCTGGGTATATGGGTCTAGAGAGATGGGATCCAGACCCCCAAGCGCTGCAGCTCCCAGTATGAGCTTCTTTTGGTAATGATTCACTGTGAGGTGGGGTTTTTTTTGTTTTGTTTTGTTTTTGGTTTGGTTTGGTTTGGTTTGGTTTGGTTTGGTTTGGTTTGGTTTGCAGAACCTCAAATGCAAGCTACCCACATAACTCAGTGCTCAGTAAAAGAGAATCTTGCAGAGTCAGGGGCCTCCAGCTGCACTGGTTTCTGAGAGACTATGCACAGCTGAAGTTGTATTCTGGCTATTGTGACGAGCCCTGGCCATGGGGGCTTTCAATACAACAGAGACAAGTCTCCAGAGTGGCTGTGGAAAGGTGAGCGTGCCTGGTCTAACAGGTGCTGCCCACAGGGATCTATGTGTGCTCATACAGTCCAGAGGATGCCCACTCCATCAGCTTGGTGGAGGAAGAACTCCTGCCCCTCAGGCACACAGCCTGGAGTCCTCATGTGGCCCCTGCCATGTTCCTTTGGCCAGGATATGGTAACCTAGCTGCAAGGGATCCTGGGAAACACCTGACAAGAACAACTTAGGAGAAGACGGTTTCATTTTGGTTCATGGTTGGAGGGAGAAGGCCACCATTTTAGGTAATGGCTGGCAGGTGTGGCAACGGATGTGGGAACGTGATGCCACCCCAAGGTTCTACTACCTCCCCAAACAGTAACACCTGAAGGGGAAGGAGGTGTTCAAACACATGAGCCCATCAGATCAAGGGTGGAAACCCAAGGATAGCAGGAAGCCCCACGTGTAGTCAGTGTGCCTACAGACCAATCCCAGCCCAACTCTAACACCCAGGGACGTGACTCGCACCACACACTCCAGGGGCAGGAACTACCATGGCACCTCTCTTGGTTCCCTTCTTATGCCCTGTGGGGTGCTCAGCCATCTCTCAGAAAGAATGTGCCCACCATCTCCTAGAAAGCCACCCTCTGATGTCCCCCTAGGTGGCCTGGGAAGCCCCCCACAAGCCAGTATTAGTTACTTTCCTCATAGTTATGACCACTTAAGAGATTTTAGCCCAGCCTGGCAGCAGGAGACTGCTAGTCATGTCATGTGACCAGGCTATCACATTCAAAGCCTACTTTCTCCAGATAGTCCGAATATCCCAAATGTTTCCCAGCTTCCCAAAACAGGACCACTTCCTGGAACTACATGTTCAAATGCTGGAAGACCTTTCCCATCAAACCAGTGGCCCCAGTGGAAGGAAGGTGGGTTCCCTGTAGGTGTTGGGCTGTTCAGCTAATGGCAAGACCACCTTCAGGGTGAAGCCTTCCAAGCCAAGTGGCCTTCACAGCAACAGGAAGAGATGAGGCTGTGGTCCCCACCTGATAGATAAGGAAACCAAGGCTCAGACAGGTAGAGAGCCTTGGCCAGGGTCAGTGGCTGTTAGCAGGATGGGACAGGAGACCGCAGCTTCTCTTTCTCTGCCCACAGCTGAGCAGACATAAAAGTTAAAGAGTGCTGTCACTCAAAGAGCTGTCAGTATCCCTGTGGAATCTGGCAAGGGGATGGCATTCTAAATTCTGATTATAATATTAACTGGACCAGATAAATGTGTATTAACAAGGTTGAGAGGAAGTCTTGAGTTGATAGGTTGCTTTTCTCATTACTGTTTGTTTGGTTTTTTTTTTTTTTTTAAATGCCTGACGCACAAGCAACTACAGGAATGGATTGTTTTTTTTTCATTGTTTGAGAGCATATTTTCTCGTCTGTTTGTTTGTTTGGGGCTCATGTTTTGAGGGGACAGTCCATTGAAGTGGAGAAAGCATGGTGTCGGGGAAGAAGAAGCAGCTGACCACGTGGCATCCACAGTCAGGAAGTAGAGAGATGGGTGTTAGTACTCAACTCACTTTCTCCTTTTTCCCTTTTTATTCAGTCCAGGCCCGAAGCCCATGGAGTGGTGCCCTCCACATTCAGGGGCGGGCCTTCCCATCTGAGTCAAACACTGGAGGAAACACCTTCCGAGATTTACCCAAACATGTGTCTCCTATGAGAGTCCAAATCCTGCAAGCTGACCTTGGAGATGAATAGCAAAAGCTTTGTCTAGAGAAGTCTAGTCCCCTATGAATCCTTGACATCAGCTCTAAGCCCGTTCCTGGGCCACTTATCCACTGCCACGAAATTGCAGAGAGATCGCGGAGCCTGGTGGCTGGGGACACTGCACTTAGTCAAGTGCTGCA